CCGGTTTGAGCCGGCTGATGCTCCCCGAATAGGTTTTGGACACAGGAAAGTACACCTCTTGTAGTTTCAGAGTTATTTCCCTGAAAAAAGTTCAAAGTGCAATAATTCGAAAGTTAGGCAAGGCAGAGTAACTGTTCTTTGCACTGCACTTGAAATCAATGCGATCTATCAACCTACAAAGATTCTTGTTGATATTTCATATGGTTTCCGAGTTATGTCCGGGACAACTTCAAAATGTAAAATTGAACAAAGGGCAATTACTACAAAAATTGGCAAGGCGGAGTTCAAGTTCTTGTGCACTGCACATCTACCCATTGAGATCAATCTACCTACAAAGTTTCATGCTGATATCTCTTGTAGTTTTAGAGTTATTTCTCAGACAAGATTTTTTTAAAAGGGGAGATAATTAAAATATTGGGCAAAACAGTTATGGTTTTTTTTTTCGCACTGCAATTTTACTCAATGAGATCAATCTACCAACAAAGTTTCATGTTGATATATCTTATAATTTCAAAGTAATTTCCCAGACAAAGTTCAAAAAGTAAAAATAACCAAAGGGCAATAACTCCAGAATAAGGCAAGGCAGACCTATTGAGATATATCTTCCTACACAATTTCATGTTGATATATTTTATAGTTTTAGAGTTATGTCCCGGACAAAATAGAGTTATGGTTCTTTGACACTGCACTCCCCCTCAATGCCCTCTACCACTGTATGAAGTTTAAACAAATTATCTCCAAGGGTTTTCAAGTAATGCTCCGGACAAGACAACGGACGGACAGACGGACAAGGCGCCGACTATATGCTCCCCCGAAAAATACCCGAAATCTTTCGGGGAGCATAGCTAGGTCTGTAGAGAGGGGAAAACAAATAATATACAAATCAATTTTGTACAATTCTTTATTATGAAAAGTCACACATACATGCTATCAGAACCAATAAAAAAGATACATTTCACTTTTTAAAGTATTACATTCATAACAAAACTAGCAGAATAAAAATTCTCTTATAAAGGTAATCTATGACCAGATCAAATTGTTATATATTGCCTTCATTTTATAAACATCTCTCTATACTAATATACATGTCACCATTGTTTGATCTGTTGTATCCATTTTGATAACATTTAAACTTTTTTAACCATATAAAATACATAATGTTTTAGACATTTCATTTATTATACGAGTTATGTATATTATATTATTGTACAAAATGTTAGTCAACCAAGGCCTGAATCTAAAGTTGTCAATTCTTAAACAAAACCTGCTATTTCTAATAAACAAAGTTCCATATAAAGTGAATAGAATTGTTTCGAAAAGTTTCATGATTGTTCAGTTCAGTCTCAGACAAAGTTTTTATTGATGCTAACAAAATAACATATACTGAATAATGTTTTCAATGAAAATTTCAAGTTCAAAACAGTCATGTTTAATAAATAAGCATATGTACAATTGACATAACCCATTCCAGATTGAACTTATCTCAACCTCATATAGAATTGTTTAAACAAATCCATGGATAATATAGATTTGTCATCATATAAAGGCAAATTAAGGATTACAAATGTACTTTATATAATCTATATTCCAAGTCCCAAACATTCATGTTTGATACACGTATTCATAAGACTTAACATATCGAAACATGAAATAAACAGAAACAGAAATAAAGATAAACATTCATATATCTAGTTAACAATGAAAAATCTTCATGTAATTATATGTTTACTTATATACCAGATAAATTTATTCTACATATACATTCAAATTTAAAGTTTAAGGGTACATTCCGCCTCAGAAATGAATAGATTTTTCATTTTTATAGAAAGGGCAAATATGTGTTTTAAAATGTTCTAATAATAGATTTCCAACATGAGATATTGTTATCACCTGATGGGTTTGAAAAGAAAATATGATTAGTGTTACAACATGTAAACAAAATGGCTATTTTACATCCATATAAAATACTTATTCATCATAAAATGGTTATTTCACATCCATATTAAATACTTATTCATCATAACTGTACTTGTTGCTAATATGCAAATGAAACAAATGATGGCTCAGATATATGGTCAATAAGAAACTTTTTGGACAAAAAAATGAAAGTTTTTAAAAATTAAAAGTGATTGCATTTTTTTAAGGCTTAATCGGTCTTTAAACAAACAGGTAAAATTGTTTAAAATGTATGTATAGTTACATGTCACATAACGTTTCTTGTTATAAAATAATATGATCTTATTTTCATCAAAGGATTGCAGTTGCGAAAATACAAAAGAAAATAAAGATGGCTCAGGTATATGGCCAATAAGAAACTTTTTAGACAAAAAATGAAAGTTTCTAAAAAATAAAAGTGATTGCATTTTAAGGCTTAAATAGCCTATAACACAAACAGTAACAACTATTTAAAATGTATGTATAGTTACATGTCACTAAACAATCTTGATATAACATAATATGATCTTATTTTCATCAAAGGATTACAATAGCTTGTAATTATATGTTTACATCTATGGTGTATAACTTGTTTTGGTTAAACATTATGTTATACTATGTAGTAACAGTATAAACTAGTACATCTAAATTACAGAAAAGTATATCTATACTTGTACTTGCCTTGTGTTAAAAATTATCATTATAGCACACACGGCAAAGAGTTCACTTAAAGGAGCTCCACTGAAGCCTAAAAGCCAAACAAAAAAGAATAATAATAGAAAATCAAAAACAGATTAATCGGGGTATTCAATACGGCAAAAAAATAAAAATGATACTAAGAAAATATACTGGGAATAAAATTGAAAATCGATAGTAATGAACTGTTATTATCAGGTGGACTTTAATTATAAACATTTTAACACTTTATATATAATTTTGAAAAACAAGAGCTCTCAACAGCACAGTGTGCTCAACTTTCCACAGTAATGGATAATGTTGACATTTCTAACTTAAAAAGGGCAATAAATCTGTCAATATCTGTGTTATAGTTCGTGGTCCTGGGACTTCCTATCACTCTCATATATGTGTGAAGCTCTAATCCACCCTGTAGTTGTTACGGAGATAGAGCTTACATGTAAAAAGTTAACCAATAATTATTTAGTCAAAGAAAGGAGCTTAAATATGAAAAAACAGCTATGGTACTTGTGGTATTCAAATGTGTCAAATTGATATTTTACTTCAGTAGTTTTTAGATACCAATTTTGCATGCAAAAAACTTAACCTAAGTGTGACCCCACTACTACAAGTATAAAGGTGTAGCTATTCTCTTAGTCGAGCTAAATTGATTACAAGTATTTTCGAAGAATGATATGAAATTTCGCACACCAGTTAATAGTTATATTGAAATAGTAAGAAACCTCAAGAACATAACTCCAATCTTATCATGTCAAAAATCAAGAAGATATAATTCCAAACATGTCAAAAATCCTCAGTGGAGTCCCTTTAACTTTACACTTTGAATAATACTAACAGTTTTAACTTGTACACATTAATTGTTTTACATAAATATAATTTTTTAACTTTTTTCAATATTTACAATATAAAACAATCCAAGAAGGAATCACTAAAATATAACATGTAAATGAAACAATTTATGTATACCATTTACTTGTCATATTTATCATCTAACAAGTATTCATTATTATACAATTGACTATTCCTCTATATCATATAACCCTATATATCATATAACCCTATATATCATATAACTGGTTATTACATATACTGATCACCTGTCCTTTATCTCATATAACTGGTATTCATATATACCATTTACTTTTCCTCTGTATCATATAATCCTATATATCATATAACTGGTTATATCATATATAGAGGATATTGAATGAGTGTAGTTTAATACTAAATTTATTGAACTCGTTGAATAAAATCATATTATGCAAGCCTCTGGCGAGCATAATATTGTTTTATTCAACGAGTTCAATAAATTTAGTATTGAATCTACACAAATATAATATTCTATTTATCACACATTAAAAAAAGGAACAGTAAACTGTTAAAATGAGTAACTTTTCAATGACGCGCCCGTATTGTAACGCTAAGATAAGCGCGCTTTAACGCTATGTTTCTATATAGCGCAAATGACGTCATGTCAAAGTGTTATTACACTAGTGTAATATCGTTTTAATTAAATGGCTTTATTACACTCCTGCACCGCGGTTTATGTGATAAAACCCTATATATCATATAACTGGTTATTACATATACTGATCACCTGCCCTTTATCTCATATAACTGGTATTCATCTATACAATCTACCTTTCCTCTGTATCATATAATCCTATTTATTATATAATCTATAAATAGCTTTGAAATGCCTTTCCCTGATTGGCTAACAAGCAACTTTTTGTAAAAAATGACAGGTCAATATCAGAGTATATTCACTGTTTTTTTCCTAAAAATAGATTTTCAGAGTATATTCACCGGTTTTCTTCTAAAAATAGATTTTCTGAAAATCCCTAAAAGACGCGAGACTTTGACGTGACGTCACGCCAAGTTTGTTGTTATTATTCTGAAGAAACGTCCTCGGTCAATATTAATTTTTTCAGTACATATCACATCATATTCAACAGCTAAAAAGTCCATATTTGTATAATATCATATTATTTGTAGTAAGATATACTGTTCCACTGTACTATATATCATATAAGTGGTATTTATTATACAATTCCCTTGTCCTTTATAACATATAACTGGTATTGATATATACCAATCTCATATAACTGGTAATTACATATACCATTCCCTTATCCTATCATATATTATATAATATAACTGGTATTTGAATGTTATATTTATCTTTTACTTTTTCTGACCTTGTACATTAAATTTCTGTTTTATGATATTTCCATTCAAATTACTTATTATATTTACTTATTCATTAATTTATTTACTTGCTAATCTATTTATCTATTTATGTATTTATAATTCAAAGAACCTATTACTTTTTCAAATTATACTTTTCACAAACTATCCCTGATCTTTAAAAAAAAACAGTTACCTATATTTTCTTTATATTTCACTGCATTTCTTTCATTTATTTATTTAAATACACATTTGAATATTACTTTCATCAATTTCAATATTACTACAATGATCAGAAATTGATATTTAATGAACTGTTTTTGATGATTGTTATCTATCATATTGTATTACATTCATTATTTAACATATCAATATGTAACTTTAGTATTTTTTTTTTGCTGATAATGTTTATTTTAATAATTATGTCTTTTATCATGAAATAATTTAAATTAAGCACTATGTTAACTGCATGTATTCTATCTCACTATGTTAAATTTTCAGATCATTTCTTTTTTGTCAAAAATGAACAAAAAAATTATCTCTTTTAACATGCAATAATTTAGTTTAATCACTATGTTAACGTCATGTATCCTATTTCACTGTGTTAAAGATTCAAACCATTATTTTTATTGTTAATATTGAAAAAAAAATAGTTCAAACACTATGTAACTACCTGTATACTATATCACTTTTTTGTTGAAAAGTAAAACCATGAATCATCATCACGTTTAACAAGAAATAACTGATCCTTATCCTTTACATACTGTCTAGCATCATTTCCCTTCCCTCCTCCTTGTGATGTCAATGCTAACCAATCATCATAAACCTCCTCACCATCTCCTGTTATATAATAACCCTCTACACTCACATCTACAGTATGAGGAATATGAGGAAGACTATCAACAAACGTCTGCCATGTTGTTAAACTCATTATGACACCAACAAGCCTAATGTTAATTAAACTCTTCATCTCTAAAGGTAACTGTATTATATTGTCAGTAAACATACAACTCCATAACTCAAGCTTACTGAGATTGAGCAACAATGGTAATACTGTGACTGGTCTCTTTGTTATGTTGGTATGATATAATTGAGATTTATTGGTATATTCTCTACACAACACAAGTTCTTTTAATTTGTTAGATTTTTTAATAATATCAAATATTTTCTCATAATTACTATCTTTCAATAGATAAAATGTAAATATTTCAAGTTTTGTAGTATCAACATCTATCACACTAACAGTATCATATAAATAAAGGTACTGAAGTTGTTGATGTTTTGATAAATTTACATTATGCTGCTTCTTACACTCACATTTAACATAATAAAGACTTATTTGTTGAAGATGATTGGTTGTCTCAAGAAAATTACAAAATGTAGTAGTATCATCATGACTCATTGTTATATTATTCATACTTATAGCTACAAGATTGATCATACTAGGTAGGTTACTAACAACTGTTTTATACACTGGGTAATACTTGTCAGTGTTAGAGACATCATTAAGAGACAGAGATTTTAATGTTGAAGTATTTACTTTAATTGTCTCAGAAACACAATTGTTTGTCTTATTAATACTCTTTGTACTATCACTTTGTGTACTAAATAACCTAAGTGGTTCATTTCCATATTTTATTACAATTTTTTCAAGATGATGAAACATTGGTAAATATTTTGTAAATTTAATATTTCGTTTGTTGAAGCAATCTACTTCAATAGACAGAACAGATACCTTAATAGATAGAACAGTGTCAGGAACAATTTGATGCTGATCAATACCTGAACAAACAATATCACAATACTCATTCAAACTATCAAGGACTAAATCTCTTATATAAAATACAGGATTACTTCCTATACTACATGATGCATTGAATTCTTCCATTGACTCTAACATAAGCTTTTGAATATCAGTAATAAAACTATGATCCCTATCAATGCCACTACTTATTGTTCTCCTGTATTCCTGAACACGAGAGTCTTTTGACACAGTATCATATATGTATTTTGAAACATGTGTTGCTGATCTAGGTTCTAGACCAAATAGCATAATGATAACATTTGACTGTTCTAATATGTCATTTACTGTTGAACATTTCTGAAAAACCTCATTAATATACTTCTTGGTTAATTCACCATTTCCTGTACTATCTGACAAACCAATTTTTGCACTGAATGTGATACCAATATACACTGCAGCAAGAAATTCTTGCATTGATTTGTGAATGAAAGAGAACAATGAGCTTGGTGGTTCTGATACAGATAAACTTGGACATTCATCTTCTGTCATTATTCCAAGTTTCAAGCAATTTTCTCTCACTTCTTCTGATATATCTAGTTCATCAAACATACAAATGTCAAATGTCAAGGATTTATCCTTCGGACAATTAAATAGTGTCTCATAAGCCAAGTGTGACACTTCATAAATGAAATGGCGGTTTAATTTTAATATGTTTTTATCAGCTAAGGTTTTAGGAAGATCTACTTTCTGAGCACCCTCCATGAGTCGAGTACTTGTTCCTGTAGTTTTCATGTCATTCCAGGTAAAGAAAAGTTCTAACATACCCGTGTAGATGGCACATCTTGAGGTTTTATCGAGTTTACCATCAAACCATAGACATATCAGTTGTTGTAGCATAATTGGTACCTGTTTTAAACTTTCCAGAGACTTTTCTCTTAGCTTTCGTTCACAAAGCCAGGCAATTTTACTAGCATGCCTGCTGGAATTTAATTGAGAGACTGTTCTATCTACCATTTCCCTTTCACATCTCAAATCAAACCCTTTCAGATTCAGTAATTGTTCAATTTCTGTCTCACTTATTCCTAAGGTGTGAATTTTCCATGGCCGTGATGTAGTTATGATTGCATAGTCTTTATTAACATCCTGTTTCGGGAGACCCATTGTCTGGAACTGATTGTAGGATTTCCTTTCCGAAGACCATTCATCTAAGCCATCAAGCAATATAATAATCTTTGCAGAGTCATTTTTGAGAACTGGGCTTGAAATGTCAATATCATACTGATTTTTAATCATATCCTGGACACTGTCTATGTCTTGATTATGTCTTAGGGAGATATAAAACATGAAATCAAATTTCTTCATTTCCTTTACGCGATCAAACTTATCATCTACATTTTGTGCACCACTGTGTGCAATACACCAACAGTTGACCAAATATTTACAGAAACTACTCTTACCAGACCCTGCATCTCCAAGAACATATATATGTTTCAAAGGCACATCATTCTTTATGAAGATATCTGACATTGACTTGACCTCAATCTCCTTTGTCTCCCTTTTCTCTCCTTTTGTTTCTCTTGTTATAGTGGGCCTAACATAAATCTCACTGAAGTTACATTTCTGACCTCGTGGTAGTAAAGGCATTGCTGGTACTTTTAGCAAAGTCTTACAGTATGATGCTATCATCTCTTTCTGCCATTCTAAAATTATAATATAGTATAACATTAAGCTGTTGACACACTATTGAGTGACTCACATATTTATAATAAACCAATTACCCTTGGCAAACTATAACATATTAGGTTAAAAGTAACCTAGGAGCTGTTTTGTTGCTAAATTGACTATAAGAATGAAAAGATCAAAAATTGAAGAATGCTCTTACCACATGTTTGCTGTTATATAATCATAATTAGTTAAATGATCAACTATAATGTCATGGCTTTAATACATATATATCACAATAAGACTACACTTGTTACTAAATATAGAAACAAGAAATGTTGAACGACACATATGCTGCCCTTTCAAGCCCTTGACTCACATTATTGGTTATTTTGTTAAAGAAACTTGCCATAAATGGGTACATGAAAGAGTTCAGTTATGGAAAAAAGAAAAAAATATGAAGACTTTGTGATAAAAAGTTTTCAAGAAAATGAGCGGAAACCATTCTGACATCTAAGGGCCCCGTGACCTTGACCTTTGAACTAGTGACGCAAAATCAATAGGAGTCATCTAAAAGATATGACCTATCAATATTAGAATATGAAGACTTTGTGATAAATAGCTTTTAAGATGATGAGCAGAATCCACACTAACATTCAAGGACCCTTTGACCTTGACCTTTGACCTAGTGACCCCAAAACAATTTGGGTCATGTACTAGTGATGACCAATCACGACGTGAAATATGAAGACTTTGTGATAATTAGCATTCAAGATAAAAATGAGCTAAAATCATAGGACCCTTTGACCTTGACCTTTGACCTAGTGACCCCAAAATAATTTGGGTCATGTACTAGTTATGACCAATCACTACGTGAAATATGAAGACTTTGTGATAATTAGCTTTCAAGATAAAAATGAGCTGAAATCATAGGACCCTGTGACCTTGACCTTTGACCTGGTGACCCCAAGGTTGTGAGCAGAAAGCATTCAAACATGTATGGCCCCTGTAATCTTTACCTTTGACCTGGTGACCACAAAATCAACAGGGGTTATCTACTAGTTATAACCAATCAATATGTGAAATATGAAGACTTTGTGATAAATAGCCACAAAGATAATAAGTTAAAAACATACTACCATTCAAGGCCCCTTTGACCTTGACCTTTGACCTAGTGACCCCAAAATCAATGCAGGTTATCTACTTGTTACGACCAATCAATATGTGTAATATGAAGACTGTGATAAATAGTAACCAAGAAAAAGAGCAGAAATCATTCTGACATTTAAGGCAGCTGTGACCTTGACCTTTGACCTAGTAGCCCCAAAATCAAAAGTGGTCATCTACAAGTTATAACTAATCACTATGTGAAATACGAAAACTTTGTGATGACCACTTTCCAAGATAAAACCATTCTGATATATAAGGCCCCTGTCACCTTGACCTTTGACCTTGTGACCCCAAAATCAATAGGGGTCATCTATTAGTTATGACACATCACTATGTGAAATATGAAGACTTTGTGGTGCATTATTTTCAAGATATTCAGCAGAAACCATTCTGACATTTAAGGTACCTGTGACCTTGACCTTTGACCTTGTGATCCCAAAAATGAAAGGGTTCATCTACTCTTTATGACCAATCACTATTTAAAATATGAAGACTTTAAGATGCATAGTTTTCAAGACAATCAGCGGAAACCATTTTGACATTTAAGGCCTCTTTGACCTTGACTTTTGACCTAGTGAACATAAAAAAATAGGGGTCATTTACTTATTCTGACCAATCATTATGTGAAATATGAAGACTTTGTGATAAATAGTTTTTAAGATAATCAGCGGAAACCATGTGGTCTACGGACAGACCGACAGAACAACATACAGACTGACAGACAAACATAAGAAACAAGAGGGCCATGATGGCCCTGAGGTCGCTCACCTGTATAAAGGCCTGCCAACCCCCCCCCCCCAACGATGCAGGGCCAATTTAACGCAAGGGCTTTTATTTGCACAAACTTGGTAGACACCCATAAGAAGATGTTTCATGCTAAACATCTAAGCTCTAGCTCATTGGGCTTTTTAAAAGAAGATTTTTTTTTTAAGTTTTTACTATACACATATAGTTAAAAATAATGACACCCCTGGGGCCGGGCAAGGGCTTTTATTTGAACAAACTTTGTAGACACTTACTAGAAGATCATTCATGCTTAATATCTAAACTCTAGCTATTTGGTTTTTTTCAAAGAAGATTTTAAGTTTTTGCTATACACATAAAAAGAAAATCAATGACCCCCGGGGCGGGGCCAATTTTGACCCCAGCTCTTTTATTTGAACAAACTTTGTAGACACATTACATAAAAGATGTTTCATGCTTAATATCTTAACTCTAGCTATTTGGGTTTTTTCAAAGAAGATTTTTAAAGTTATTGCTATACACATATAAGGAAAATCAATGACCCCCAGGGCGGTGCCAATTTTGACCCCTGGGCTTTTATTTGAACAAACTTGGTAGACACCTATTAGAACATGTTTGATGCTAAATATCTGAGCCATAGCTCTTTGAGTTCTTTAAAAAAAGATTTTTTAAGTTTTTACTATATGCATATAGGAAAAATCAATGACCCCCTGGGGCAGGGCCAATTTTGACCCCGGGCTTTTATTTGAACAAACTTGGTAGACACCCATTAGAACATATTTCATACTAAATGTCTTAGCTCTAGCTCTTTGGGTTCTTTAAAAGATGATTTTTAAGTTTCTACTATATGCATATAGGGAAAATCAATGACCCCCCGGGGCGGGGCCAATTTTGACGCCAGGGCTTTTATTTGAACAAACTTGGCAGACACCCATTAGAACATATTTCATGCTAAATATCTTAGCTCTAGCTCTTTGGGTTCTTTAAAAGAAAATTTTTAAGTTTTTACTATATGCATATAGGGAAAATCAATGACCCCCCGGGGCGGGGCCAATTTTGAGACCAGGGCTTTTATTTAAACAAACTTGGTAGACACTCACTGGAAGATGTTTCATGCCAAATATCTAAGCTCTAACTCTTATGGTTTTTTTAAAGAAGATATTTAAAGTTTTTTCTTTCGGTTGCCATGGCAACCAGAGCTATGCATGGAATTAAATTCTTTAAACAATTTTTAAAGGTGACCACCAAAGGAACATTCCTGTGAAGTTTGGATGAAATTGGCTTAGTGGTTTATGAGGAGATGTCATTTAAAGTAAAAGTTTACGGACGGACGCCGGACGACGGACGGACGCCGGACGACGGACCGACGCCGGACGAAAAGCGATCACAAAACTATAAATCCCCTCTTCTTCAAAGTGGGGCAAAACAAAATTTCAAATGCATAAGAGAGTCATGTGAGCTATCATGAGTTTGCGATCCTGACTGCTGAACACTGAACACGAGCACATGCAAAAATTAAAACAATGACATCAAACTAATTGCGTCATCACAACCACTAGCTTTAATGTGAAAGTAGGTTTTAAGCACCAATCGCATGAGTTAAGGATGAGAACATTTTATAAGGATAATTTGTACAAACAACAGTTTTATTCTGAAAAACTTGATTCTACAGAAGTGAACTTTGTAAGGGAAGCAACTCTTTTTAGTATTGTACAGTATTATAAGACAAGAATTTCAACAATATTAATGTAGACCTTATTCAAATTAGTGTTACTATCAAGTGTATAAAAGACATTAAAAGGCACATTTGAGACAAACCAAATAGTTATAATACGCCCTGAAATGAATTATGCCCTCGGGTCATTTTTCACTTGGCAAAAAAAACAAGGGCACTATTCATTTTGAGGGGGGGGGGGGGTATTAACACACCTTCTGGCCCTAATCTATGTGTAGTATATCTATGTCCATATAGAATTAATTAAATAATCAATAAACACATATTACATCATTGTGAGTTCAATGTTTAATAGATAACTATAATGACATTATGAATTAATTACTTAATGAATACTTATTATGACTTGTTATAAGCTAGATTGGCCATAGGGGTAAAGATATTCTCACCCAAATTCTACGACATACAATATTATGTAGTGCTCTTTTTCATCAATTTAAATAGAAAACAGTTGAGGTTTAGAAATGTGTCTGAAAGGCACAGATGCCTCTGCTATTTATGTTAGGACACCAAATAGTATAACTACCGGTGTTATAACAGGACAGCACAGATTTTATTACATAGCCCTATTTGTAACTAGACCTATCACTGAAGGTGATTAATACCCCCACCTGCAACTTTGACTTTATGAAAAAAAGTAGTCTGAAGAAAAATTTTGAACAAAAACTATTAACTGTGTACAAAGAAATATTTCAATTAATTGTAATCGCAACTGGGATCTTCATATAAGCTTGCTATACGCCAAGTTTGATAACAATATCCTAACCATGACGGACCGACCGACCGACAAGCTGACTCCTATAACCCCCCCCCCTAAACTTCGTTTGTGGGGGTATAATAAAAGACCTTTTCAAGTATAAGGACAGATGGATGTTGATAAATATTTAAAAGGCAATGGAGCACAAACTGTTTATTGTGACCTGGAGCAATAAACTTAATAAATATAAGCTCGGTAATATTTTACATAAGATACAATTATTTTGAATGGTTTTTATTTGTTAATTTGATTGGGTTTTATGTTACACCGACACAGTATAGGTCATATGGCGACGCTCCAGCTTTACTGGTGGAGGAAGACCTCAGGTGCCCTTCTGTGCATTATTTCAGGCACGAACCGGCACCTGAGTAGAACTACTGACGTTCCATAAGCTAGCTGGATAGCTTCCTCACATGAAAAAATCCAAAGTCCCTGTAGGGATTCGAACCCACAGCGGTGAGGGGCAAGTGGTTTGAAGTCAACAACCTTAACCACTCTGCCACAGACGCCCCTATATTTTGGATGGTAGGGTATCAATGACTTATAATGCTAAACACTTTTGCCAGCAGTGTTTACTTATTGACCATTCTCTTTATGGATAACAGAGTGTACGACAAGCGAAGATTTTCTTTAAACTGCTGACCTTTGACCTGTAAGAGTAAGTGTGACCTTCAACTTTGACCTGGGGTCTATATCTTGAACCTGAAACACTGGCTTATCATGCTCAACATTTATGCTAAATTGTTTCAAAATCCCTACATGCATAACAGAGTTATGGGCCTAATAAACTGACATTTAAACTCTCTGTGACCTTGACCTTGGAGCTAGGGATTTATGTTTTGCGCTATACAAACTGTCTCCTCATTCTACACATTTTGCCAAATCATTTCAAAATCTCATGAAGCATGATAGAGCTATAGGCGGGACAAGGTTTTTGAACACACACGCCAACAACAATTAACTGGGGTAACACTTTATGCTCCCTTGTTTTTATCTTGATGGGATTGTATTAAGATATTTGAAAAGGATGGCATTTATAGTTCAGAACAAAAGGCCTGCAAAGAAGCTTCATTTGTTCTGCATATCCCATTGTTTAGGGTCAAGTTTGAAGAAAATCCTTCAAGGGTTCGACACAAAATGATCGGACATTTGATTTTTGACCTTCAAGATTGATCTTGACCTTGAAGAAGATCGTAAAAGGCATGTAAGATTTATAGAGCTGACACAAAAGTTTGTGATATTTGACCGTTGTCCTTCAAAGGTGACCTTTGCCTTAAGCTGGAATGGCAGTGGCATTGGTTCTGCCCATTGCCTTATTGAGATGAACATCCAAGTTTGAAGAAAATCCATGACCGGGTATAGGATTTATAAAGCAGAGACGAAAATGTTCAATATATTACGTTTGACCTTCAAGGGTTCCCTTGACCTTGAACTGGCACAGCTGTAGTATGTCTTTTCATGTTACAGTAAACAGTTATGCCAATTTAAAGAAAATTTATACAGTTTATAGAGCGAGTACATGATTGTCTGTCTGATATTTGACCTTTGACAATCAAAGAAGCTGTGAGCCAGCACTGCAGAGGCATAGGTTCTAAACATTGCCTTGTAAACCAAGCACAGACATTGGTTATGCATACTGCCTTGTTGAGGCAAATTTAAGGAAACTTACACAGGGGGTATAGAATATACAGAGAAAAGAAAAAAAGTTTGATGTTTGGCATTTGTCCTTCAAGGGGGATATTGACCCAATGGAAACAAACAGACGGAATGACTGACCTAATGATGCCGCAAAGTGATTCCAGTATAGCACCAACCACATTATGTGGTAGGATATAATCAAATGTTACATTGTAATTTCATAAATTTAATATTATAAATTTAATGATATTGTATGATCCGGAGTATATAATAATTATATCATATTAATTTCTAAAATGATAAAGTAACGATGACATTCAGCTGGTTTTTATTTATATTAATGGCAATATCATACACTTGTATGTACACTATCGAAACAAATATTTACTCACCTAACTTGGTTTGCTCATACTCTGCCTGACTTTGACCTGAGGAAGTTACTGTCTTAATTTTTGCCATCTCCTGCAAAAACAAATCATCTTCTTTTCTCCAAAAATGCTTTTAGTTCAAGACTAATCTATAAGTTATTATTAAGATGTTACTAGAACTGGGGCATAAGTGGCCAAGGGTTAAGGTTGTTGACTTCAAACAACTTGCCCCTCACGGTTGTGAGATCAAATCCCGAAAGACCATTTGAATTATTTCATGTGAAGAAGCTATCCAGCTAGCTTACAGAACGACCATGGTTCTACTCAGGTACCCGTTTGTGCCGGAAATAATGCACGGAAGGGCACCTGAGGTATTCCTCCACCAGTAAAGCTGGAGCGTGGCCATATGATCTTTACTATGTCGGTGTGATGTAAAACCCAATCAAACGAAAAACAGAACTGCCACTGTCATGGCGTGAATACCCCTGCATACCACTTTGTCAGAATAAACAGTAGTCATTAAGAGCTCAATGACAACCTTGACAACCTGTCAAATCTGTGGGTAGAAAGCCAGTGCATTAGTAAGATATGTATTCTACATGTTTTTAGTGGCAAAGATCAAAGTGACCTTTACCTTTGACCTACTGACTTCAAAACTGAAACATGCAACTGCATGACTTGAATACCCTCCAAATTCATGCAGCTTTGCTGGGGGTGTTTTATGATGAATATATGAGAATATAATTATGCTTCAAATGTGAAATGTCAAAATCAATACACTGTGGACAGGCATTCTTAAGCATTTGAGCAGACAGGCTTATTGTAGTTAAAGCCCCTGTGACCTTTACCTTTGACATATTAACCTAAAAATCAATATAGGGTCATCTACTAGTCATTACTAACCTCAGTACCAAATAAGATGATTGTTAACCAAAGCATTCTTAAGTAATTGAGCAGACAAGCTTTCAGAATTAAAAGCTTAGTGACTTTAAAACTAATAGTGGTCACTTTATAGTCATAAACAACATCCATGCCAAATATGAAGACTGTGGGGCAAAGAATTCTAAAGATGTTTGGTGGACAATTTTTTATAGTCAAGGCCCTTCTGACCTTGACCTTTGACTCAGTGACCACAAACAATAGGGGTCATCTCATAATGATGACCAACCTCCATGCCAAATATGAAGACTATGGGTCAAAGGATTCTAAAGATGTTTGGCTGACGAGTTTTTTTTATAGTCAAGACCTTGACCTTTCACTCAGTGACCACCAAAACAAAAGGGTCATCTCATAATCATGAATAACCTCCATGCCAAATATGAAGACTGCTGACCAATGTATTCTAAAGCAATTGAGCAGATAAGCTTTTTTGAAGTACTGGCCCCTCTCACCTTGACCTTTGACCCAATGACCTCAAAAGCAATATTGGTCATCTAATGTTCATGACCAACACCATGCCGAATATGAAGACTGTGGGTCAAAGGAATTTTAAAGTTATTGGGCAAACAAGCTTTTCTAGTCAATGCCCCTGTCACCTTGACCCAGTGACCTCACAATCAATAGGGGTAATCATGACTAACCTCTATGCTTAATATGAAGACTTTGGGTCAAAGGATTCTCAAATTATTTAGCGGAAAAGCTTTTTTGCGTCCAGGTCCCTGTGACCTTGTTTTTGACCCAGTGATCTCAAAATCAATAGGTGTCTTCGAATAGTCATGACAAACCTCCATTCCAAATATGAAGACTGTGGGTAGACTGTGGGTAGAAGGATTCTTAAGTTACTGGGCCGACAAACGTTTTAGTCATGCCCCTGTGACGTTGACCTTTGACCCGGTGACCTCAAAATCAATAGGGGTCATCTACAAATCATGACCAATCTCAATATCAAATATGAAGAATTTGGGTCAAAGGATTATTGGGCGCACAAACTTTTTAGTCAAGGTGCTGTGACCTTGACCTTTGACCTGGTAACCTCAAAATCACTAGGGTTTATATTTTAATCATGACTTATCTAAATACCAAATATGAAGACTGTAGGTCAAAGGAATTTTATGTTATTGGGTGGACAAGGAAAAACTGACGGACCGCCAACGTCCGACTGCCAAGCTGATTCAAGTATACCCCCCTTACAATTTTGTTTGTAGTGCGGGGGTATAAAAATTGATACAAAGGAGTATGTACTGAATTGTGAATTCAACATAAGACGGTACAGCTAACATTATACTTTAAGTGTAACCTTCACAATGAAATAGTAAAGCTAACATTTAACCTTTAAGTGTAACTTTCACAATGAACCAGTATAGCTAACATTATACTTTAAGTGTAACCTTCACAATGAACCAGTATAGCTAACATTTAACCTTTAAGTGTTACTTTCGCTATGAACCAGTAAAGCTAACATTATACTTAAAGTGTAACCTTCACAATGAACCAGTATAGCTAACATTATACTTTAAGTGTAACCTTCACAATGAACCAGTATAGCTAACATTATACTTAAAGTGTAACCTTCACAATGAACCAGTATAGCTAACATTATACTTTAAGTGCAACCTTCACAATAAACCAGTATAGCTAACATTATACTTTAAGTGTAACCTTCACAATGAACCAGTATAGCTAACATTTAACCTTTAAGTGTGACTATCAACATGAGAAACCATAGCTTACATTTAATCTTTAAATATGACCTATTTTAAAATCAAAATTGAAACAATTTTTTTCAGCTGATATTCCTTAATACACTTCATATACATTATAATTATGAATTTGGATGCCTTTCCAGTCAAACAGCCACAAGAACGTAATCAACAAGAAAAGTTGAAATACACATATGCTCCATTTCTAGCGCTCATACTATTGGTAAGTTTGAAACTTGCCATAAATAGGTACATGGAAGTGTTCAATTATGGAAACAAGGGAAAGAATAATGACCTACTAGTAATAAACTATCAATATGTGAAATACCTTGACCTTTGAACAAGTGACCCCATTATGACTCATCCATATGACTGTGTGGTATGAAGACTTTTTGATAAGAAGTTTTCAAGATAATAAGCGGAAACCATTCCGCATTTAAGGCCCCTGCGACCATGACCTTTGAGCTTGTGATCCCAAAATCAATAGGGATCATCTACTACACATGACCAATTATTAATTAGTCTGTGAAATATGAAGACTTTGTGATAAATAGTTTTCAAGACAATAAACAGAAACCATTCAAACATTCAAGACCCCTGTGACCTTGACCTTGTGACTAAGGCCCCCACGATTACACGTTTAAACGGATTTGTTTCGATTTTCATTCGTAAACGTTTACGATATTTTCTACCGTTTAATCGAAATGACCATATTGTCTTACAAACTTTCTTAATCATTGCCAATTATCATTGATTTTATCAATTCTAGTTGTTTATTCCAAAGTAAAAAAAAAACAATACAGAAAATATGCGCTGACTCAATTGTGATGAGCCCTGGACATTCTTTATTTGTACATGTATTAAAAATAGAAAGTACGTCATCATTTGGCGACATATATATATATATATATATATATATATGGTGTATATAGTACATAGAGGTACCACCGTTTAAACGGTATCGTTTCGGTTCTTAGCAATCGTGTAAACGTTTACAAAAAAATTGTAAACGTGGGAGCCTTACTTGTGACCCAGAACTCAATAGGGGTAATCTACTAGTTACAGTACAGCTCAAGCAATTTTTCCTCTTTCCACTCAGTCACCGCGGACACTTTTAATGGCAAACAGAAAATCGCGGGGGACATACTATAGTATGCCATGGCGACAAATCACCACGGACGGGTAGTAAAAAAAACCTGCAATCCGCGGTGGAAAATCACAGAGATTTGCAGTGATTAATTTCCATATAAATGTTCATGTAAATGTACAATGTAGTCTTCTTTTAAAAAATCTAAAAGACTTACAATGTGACTGATGATTTTAATCATTCAATAAAATTATTTAATTAGCTCGGCGATATTAATGTACATTTACCGGGGAAAATCACATTACAAAACAGTTCAATGAAAAAAGTTTCAAGAAAACGGAATAACAAAATATTAACGAAATCGGTCAACACTTTCAAGAAAATTAAATGCTTTGATGTTTCTGTGTAAAAAGTTGAAACGATAGCTAGAACACTTAAACGCCACTTATTATATAATATAGTTTATACATGTACATTTAATAGCGGCCAATCTTAAGAAGGTGTTAAATCCGATCAAGGAACTAATTTATTTATTCTTTGCTCAAGACCACTTAATTAAGCAATTTACACCTACAAAAATTAAGCAATTAGCACATACACCTAATAGTGCAACCGTGGACTAGTTCATGTACGTAATTATATAATAGTTTAACAAATCTTTCTTTAACATATGTTTTTACGTAAACTTTGCAAGATGTCATTACGAAATCTGATCAAAAGCCACAATTTTTTGCCGTTAAATACTACTGTGATGGGAAAATGCGACTAAGAAATCGAGGATTTATTCTCCATAATGGTTAGGTGAGTGTCGTAGAAATAAATTAGAATCTATCTCATTACTTATTATACAGCTACAGTAGTCCACGGTATGCGCTTTCTAAAAATTTAGATCTGTGATCGTGATGAAATAAACATATTTGTTACAATTTTTTTTTCAGATCATAACCGTAAATGCGACATTAAATATTTAAAATATGGAAATGTTTAGTTCATTTGTGCGTATTATATGATGACCCACTTAAACTTTAGTTCTCGTCAATATTTGGAGGGTAGGTAATTAACACACGTAAATTTAACAGAAAAAATCGTTTAAATGGATCAAAGAAATAATTAAAAATTCTTATATGATTGTAGCACTGTAAAATCAGAAAGGTTAAAATGGCTTGAAGCAGTTAAAAATTAATTATGTTAAAAGTTACTACATATTAGGGTTTTAATTTCACACGCAAATCATTAAATTTTGTAATTATTTGCATATGACAGGTGTTACGTCCTTTTAAATACATAACATACAGATTTTCTTCTATAAAAAATGTGTTTTAGTTCATTATATTTTACAGACATACAGTAATAGTAATAAATGTCCCTGTGTTATAAATAAACTAATGGTCACCCGAGAGAGCAAAATACCGCTGCAATATTTCACAGTGATCCGCGGTGACAATATCCCGCAGCCCAAACTTCCCCCGATCAAGTAGACGAGCGGAAAGTCACAACTATCGCAGGGACATCGCGGTGACAGTCCACCCGTAAACAAATCGCGGGGATCGGCTGACTTTGGAAAAATTGCTTGAGCTGTACTGTATGACTAATCACGGTGTGAAATAAAAAGAAATTGTGATAAATAGCTTTTAAAGATAATGAGCGAAAACAATTTTTGACTTTTGATCTAGTGACCCAGAAACCAGTAGGTGTCATCTACTTCATATGACCAATGAATATGTCAAATATGAAGACTTTGTGATAAAAAGCTTTCAAGACAATAAGCGGAAGCAATTCTTACACGCAAGGTGTCTGTGACCTTTACCTTTGACCTAGTAACCCAAAATTAAATGGGGTCATCTAGTAATTATGACCAATCAGTATGTGGAATATGAATACTTTGTGATAAATACAATGTCGTCTTCAAGATAATGAGCAGAAACAATTCTAACATTCAAGGCCCCTGTGACATTAACCTTTGACCTAGTGATTCCAAAATCAATAGGGATCATCTACTACTTTTGTTTAATCAGTATGTGAAATATGAAGCCGTTGTGATAAACGCTTCAAGATAAGGACCGGAAATCATTTTGATATTAAGGCCCCTATGACTTTGACATAGTGACCCCAAAATCAATAGGGGTCATTAACTAGTTTTGACCAATCAGTATGTGAAATATAAAGACTGTGTGATAAGTAATTTTCAAGATAATAAGCAGAAACCATTCTAAAATTTAAGGCCCCTGTGGCCATGACCTTTGAGCTTGTGATCCCAAAATCATTTATAGGGGTCATCTACTACATATGACCAATCAAAATGTGAAATATGAAGAATTTGTGATAAACAGTTTTCAAGATAATCAGCGGAAATCATGTTGGCTTTCGAAGGGCAGACAGACTGACATAAGCAAAGTAATTTACCCCCTCTTTCTTTACAATTATTATATCTTCATCTTCTTAAATGTAAAGATGTTGCATACAGTTGTAACATTTAATTAACAAACAGAAGGAAATTTGTTTTACCTCTTTCTGTTCTGAAACAAGAGTCTCCAAGACTCCAAGTTTCTTTTTCAATTCTGCATTCTCCAGATTTTCGTCATTTACTTTGGACACCTTAGTTTCAAGGTCTAATAGCTTGTTCTTCAGATCATCATGTTCCTCTTTAGTTGCAGCACTTTCTGTCGATTTCAAAACTTTTGCCATTTCTTCTTTGATTTGCCTCAGAATCTCTTCAAAACTTTCAGTCGTAATAATAAAATCTTTGTTCTTCAGCTGATTAAAAGAGATCAGTCTTGTTATATTTTCTTTCATAAAAAATGTAGCTATGTAATTAATAATATTTACTCTTCTATATTATATATCAGGTCAAACTTCATTTCAAATTATCCCAATTGCTCTTTTATTTAAACTCTCATACTTTTTTCTTAAATCCACTTTTTTAAGGGAGTATACACTTACCTATGTAACTTATCTGATTCTCAGACATTACTATATTCACACTGGTTTGTTATCTATTTCAGTGCAACCAACAAGAGGGCAATGATGGCCCTCAAATGGCTCACCTGTATATAGGATCCCAAGGCAGGGCCAATTTAAACCAGGGGCTTTTATTTGAACAAACTTGACAGACACCCATTTGAAGATGTTTCATGATAAATATCTTAGCTCTAGCTGTAAGAAGATATTTTAAGTTTTTTCTATACACATATAGGGAAAAACAATGACCCCCACCTCTGGGTGGGACCAATTTTGTTCCCATGACTTTTACTTGAACAAACTTGGTAGTCACACACTAAAAGATAGCTAATGCTTAATATCTAAACCCTTGCTCTTTGGGTTTTTAAAGTTTTAAAGAAGATTTTACTAAATACATATAAGGAAAATCAATGATCCCTGGGGCGGGCAAATTTAAACCAAAGGGCCCTTATTTGAACAAAAATGGTAGACACCCACTAGAAGATGTTTCATGCTAAATATCTTAGCTCTAGCTCTTAGGGTTTTTCTTCAAGCAGATTGTTTAAGTTTTTACTATATACATACTAGGAAAATCAATGATTCCGAGGCCGGCCCAATTTTGACCCAAGGGCCCATATTTAAACAAACTTGGTAGACACACACTAGAAGATGTTTCATGCTTAATATCTTAGCTCTAGCTATTTGGGCTTTTTAACCAATTTAACCCCAGGGCTCTTATTTGTACAAACTTGGATGAAACCCATTAAAAGATGTTTCATGCTAAATATCATAGCTCTAGCTCTTTGGATTTTTAAAAGAGTTTTTTTACTCTAAGTGTTTACTATATACATAAAGGGAAAATAATGACCCCCCTTGGGCGGGGCCAATTTTGACCCTAAGACTTTTATTTAAACAAACTTGGTAGACACCTACTAAAAGACGTTTCGTGCTTAATATCTAAGCTCTAGCTATTTGGGTTTTTTAAAAGCAGATTTTTAAATTTTTTACTACATACATACAGGGAAAACACTGACCCTCCTGGGGTCGGACCAATTTTGACCCTAGGGCTTTTATTTGAACAAACTTGGTAGACAACCACTAAAAGATGTTTCATGCCAAAAATCTAAGCTCTAGCTATTTGAATTTTTTTAAAGAAGATTTTTACTATACACAAATAAGGACAATCAAAGAGCCCCCAGGGCAGGTCAATTTTGACCCAAGGGCTATAACTTGAAAAACTTGGTAGACTCTACCTATATGATGTTTCTTGTCAAATATTTAAGCTCTAGCTCTTTCGGTGCTTTTAAAGAAGATTTTTTAAAAGTTTTTTCTTTCGGTTGCCATGGCAACATAGTTCTACATGGAATTAAAGTCTTTGAACAACTTTTAAAGTTCACTATCAACGGAACATTCCTGTGAAGTTTGGATGAAATTGGCTTAGCAGTTTAAAGTAAAAGTTTACGGACGGACAGTTGTGAGTTTTAGAAGGTTTCATGAATCTTATACTTCTCACTTTCTTAATTTCACACCTAATGGTTGGACATGCATGACATGTTGAGGTTCTAATAGGGGTCAAGATATATGCGGGTCACAGATAATTAGAGATACTATCATACAAACATATTGCAGGTTTTATTATCTCAAGAAAAATATCCTTCATACGCTTTTTCAATTTTCGGATATTTAAAGTAAATTTGTATTGATATAATCCAAACTTTACCACAATATCAGAATTTAGAATTCCTCAATTTCAGAGGTATAATTTTATAAGAATTTTGGGACCCTGAACATTGTTTGGATTTCCAAGTTTTTGGATTTCAGAAGTTCCTTACAAACTAAAATCTCTTTTGTTTATAATTTAACATTTAATAGGTACATATATATTTTTATGTGACTTTATCAGTTAAGGTCAGGGGAATACTTTTTGATTTTGACTATACTTTACCACTTCAAACCCTGTTAACCTAAACTTTGTCCTAAATTAAGTGATATGTTATCTTAAATCATTATACGTTGACTCAACAAAGATTTCAAACTGACATAATACATTATTTGCACTTACATCTTGAAGTTTCTTCACCGCTATCTGGGCATCTGATCGTTGTAACAGCTCTTTACCATCTTGTAGAACTGCTATCATATCATCTAAGTGAGTATTTGCCACACTTTCTTCTAATTCCATGCTGCTTGAGTGAAATATAGCATTTCTATACTGACGAACCTATTGAATAAAAAACACAGGTTCAATATTACTATATGCATAAATATACAGTGTTAAGCAATCAAAATTGTTTTGTAGAAAATTGTCTGAGTACTTACCTACATTCTAAGATGCCATCATGAATTATACAGGCATTTTACTTATATTTTACAAAAAAGTCACAGGGTTGATTTGGGATAATTGTGTCTTTATTTTCTATTCAAACCAGAGCCAGTTGAACCGGGTAATGCTCCCCAAATAGGTTTAATTTGGACACATGAAGGTAGTGTCAGAGTTATGTTACAGACAAAGTTTAAAAACAACCCAAATGTTGCACATGACACATATGTCTCAATATGGTGATCATTGCTGTAAAATAGTTGTAAAATCCGACTTCAAATAATGAAGTTTTGGGCTGGACACAATTTTGCTGCAATGTCATGCTGTGACCTTAACCTTCAAGGTAGCGTCCAAAATTTTGCGCATGACACATTATCTCAATATGATTATCATTTCTGTGAAATAGTTGTAAAATCAGACTTCAAATAATGAAGTTATGGGCCGGACACAATTTTCCTGCACAGTCATGCTGTGACCTTAACCTTCAAGGTAGCGATCCAAATGTTGTGCGTGACACGTCGTCTCAATATGGTGATCATTTCTATGAAATAATTTTAAAATCCGACTCCAAATAACGAAGTTATGGGCCAGACATAATTTTGCTGCAAGGTCATGCTGTGACCTTTACCTTCAAGGTAGCCACCCAAATGTTGCGCGGGACATGTTATCTCAGTATGGTGATCATTTCTGTGAAATAGTTTTAAAATCCGACTTAAAAAAACGAAGCTTTAGGCCGGATATGATTTTGCTGCAAGGTCATGCTGTGACCTTGACCTTTAGGGTAGCGACCCAATTGTTGTGTGTGACACGTCGCCTCAATATGGTGATCATTTCTGTGAAATAGTTGTAAAATCCGACTTCAAATAACAAAGTTATGGGCCGGAAGAACAGTAATTATGTGGCTACTCTATTGTTCTCTGTTATTCTTTTTAGCCACACAAAAGAAAATAGCCAAATAAAAGCATTACGGAATGAATGACATCAAAGAGAAAGAACAGTTACCTATTGTCACTCTAGCCATATAATAACTGTCCTGTAAGTGCAGACTGACGGACGGACGGACAACCCGGCGACTTTATGCTCCCCCGAAATTTGTTGGTGAGAATAAAAAATAATTGTGAAATTTATCATTTGGGAAAATATGCCAGCATTCAAGATGTTCAAATTCGTTTAACAAAGCTAAATAAATCTTATTAAACTGATCAGAAATTAAAACATATCGGAAATTTTCAGAACCTCCAGACCAAGTACAAAAGGTGGTACCTTTGAAACCATTGAAGAAGACTGGTAAATTTGTATACTTTTGTTGTGAATCGTTAGATTTTCATTTTCAATTTTACTTTGGATGCTGAATATACAGCATTTACATTACAATACAGCTAATAAAAGATAAACAAGACACTTTATTAATAATTTACCTTTGTAAAAAGATTGTTTGTTACTGTGACATCACATCCAATGTGGTTATGAACATACTGGTTATTTATCATTAGATGTAATAACCCAGTACAATCAGTTTCACCAGCAGATTGTTTCTGCTCGTACCCTGGAGCATTTATAAAACACTTACAAATGCTCCAAGGGTCTGTCACCCATTGTTGAGCATCGCTGTTTTTCCAGTTAGGTGAAGGTGGTGAGGATGCATGATGCTGCACAATATAGTCATAGATGGCGCCACATATGTTGTTTGGACAAGCAATTTTGCCCTTAAAGCAACAGCTGCATTTTACTTGCCCAAGAGGACAGACTTTGTTTCCAGCATTCCCAGGTACTGGCTTATGGTCTGGCTTGAGAGTTTCAACTTGACAGCCCCCACATGTCACAGTTGATGGTAGTAACTTTGTAGACCGAATGTTTTGTAAGATATCCTTATGTTGTTGGTCAGCTATGTCATTACAGAATGGTACCAGTCCCTCCTTTAAATATCCAAGTCCTAAACCAGCCTTTACCCACTGTCTGTATTTTTCCTTCTCTAACTGAAGTTGATGTGTCATCCTGATACTCTATCAATATCTAAACAAATCAAACAAAAAGATTATGTTAAATTTTATATGAATAACTAATTATGGTCTTGGGTTGCAATTCAAAGTCAAAAATACTGGGTAAATATGATATGAGCCGTGCCATGACAAAACCAACATAATGGGTTTGCGACCAGCATGGATCCAGACCAGCCTGCGCATCCGCGCAGTCTGATCAGGATCCATGCTGTTCGCTTACCAACCATATTACAAGTAGAGAAACTGATAGCGAACAGCATGGATCCTAATTAGATTGCACGGATGCACAGGCTGGTCTGGATCCATGCTGGTCGCAAACGCACTATGTTCAGGGTTTTGTCGTGACGCGGCTCATATGTGTTCCAAAAAAGACAAAAAACTAGTGGTGTCATCGATCAGGATTATAGATAAATAAACTATGAAACCTGAACAATTTGTTTATTTCTTTTATCATATAACTATAAAAGACAACTAATGACTAGTAATTATAAAGTTTAAAGCATTTTCCATTCTAATTTTATTGTTGTTGTTGCAATTACGAAGTTACGGATTATGTTAAATCCCGTCCTTGCCGTTCAAAATATACCAAGGTTTAATAAGCAAATTAAAGTGTTTAGAACCAGTGAATAATTATTAAAGTTTAACATTTTACATTGTATAATCATAATTATACAAAGAAACACTGACGAAAATATTCTTGGCATTTTCCCTGTTTAAAATCTGAATTGAGGGGTTTTAACACCCCCTTAGCAGACGTGCGAGATTATAACGAAATTCGGCAGTATTTGTTAGAGACACAGGGAGGTAATTTGGTGTGATTTTCATTTTCATTTTGGAAAACATTTTGCATCACAGGCCCTTGTCACTTTATCAAATATGTTACATAATCGGCCTATATCATATATGTATATTAAGATTATACTGTAGTATATACTGTAGTATATACTTAGTATATAGCCCATATAGAACATAAAAAAGTTTGCTTCAAGCACCTGTGATTGGCATTCAATACCCGATAATTAAAAACAAGAACCGGTTGAACCGGGTGATGCTCCCCGAGAAGGTTCTAGACACAGGAAAGTATAAAAAAAATTAACAAAGGGCAAAAACTCCAAAATTAGGCAAGGAGGAGTTATGTTTTTTGCACTGCACTTCTATTCAATGAGATCTATCTATCTATAAAATTTCCTGATGATATCAGAGTTATGTCCCTGGTAAAATTCAAAGTGTAAAAATGAACAAAAGGGCAATAACTCCAAAATTAGACCAGGCTTTGTTTAGGTTCTTTAATCATTGCAGTTCTATCCAATTATATCTAGCTACCTACAAAGTTACTTGTTGATATCTCTAATAGTTTTAAAGTTATGTCCCGGACAAAAGTCAAAAAGTAAAAATAAACAAAGGGCAATTACTTCAAAATAAGGCAAGGCAGAGTAATGATTCTTAAGCACTGCATTTCCGTCCAATGAGACCTATCTATCTACAAAATTTCATGTTCAGATATATCTTATAATTTTAGAGTAATGTACAGGACAAAGTTCAAAGTGTCAAAATGAACAAAGGGCAATAACTCCAAAAGTAGGCAAGACAGTGTTACAGTTCTTGTGCACTGCAAACTTACTTAACGAGATCTATCTACCTACAAAGTTTCATGTTGATACCTCTTATAGTTTAAGAGGTATGTCCTGGACAAAGTTCAAAGTGTGAAAATAAACAAAGGGGGATAATTAAAAACTTAGGCAAGGCAAGGTTATGGTTCTTGTGCACTGCACACCTACTCAATGAGATCTTTCTACCTACAAAATTTCATGTTGATACCACTTATAGTTTTAGAGTTATGTCCCAGACAAAGTTCAAAGTGTAAAATAAACAAAGGGGGATAATTCAAAAATTAGGCAAGGCAGAGCTACAGTTTTTGTGCACTGCACACCTACTCAATGAGATCTATCTACCTACATGTTGATACCTCTTATACATTTAGAGTTATGTCCCGGACAACGTTCAAAGTGTAAAAATAAACAAAGGGGGATAATTCAAAACTTAGGCAAGGCAGAGTTACGGTTCTTGTTCACTGCACACCTACTCAATGAGATCTATCTACCTGCAAAGTTTCATGTTGATACCTATTATAGTTTTAGAGTTATGTCCCGGACAAAGTTCAAAGTGTAAAATAAACAAAGGGGCATAACTAAAACAAGAGCTGTCACAGGAGACAGCGAAGCTCGACTAATAAAATACTGGACGCAGTAAGGAGGACAAAACTATGAAAGAAAAATCAATTATGTATAATTATGTATTAAGTTATAGTAAAAAATAACATTTGTTAACATTAATTCCAAGATCAAGGGGAATAATTCTAGAAATAGTCATGCTAGAGTTATGGACCTTGTCACACAACATTTGTGTAATGATAAGAAATATATATTTGAAGTTTGAAGTAGATACCATAAAAAGTAAAGAAGTTATTATATTTCTTAAAGAAAATCCTAAGTTCAAAGAGAGATTAATCTGTAAATATTGCTTCAAGAGTTATGAACATTGTCATATAAAATGTATTTGATGATTAGGAATAAGTATTTGAAGTTTGAGGTAGATACCTTTAAAAATAAAAAAAGTTATAATAAAAAATAACATTTTTCTAGTAAAAAAATCTAAGTTTATGGGTAGATAATTCTTGCAATATTGGTGCTAGAGTTATGAACCTTGTCACATAAGATGTGGATGATGATAACGTAAATATATTTGAAGTATGAAGTTGATCCCTTTAGAAATAAATAAGTAACAGTAAAAAAAAAAAAAAAATTATGGAAAATTCTAAGTTTAAAGGGAGATAAATCTGAAAATATTGGTGCTAGAGTTATCAACCTTGCCACATAAGATGGGGAGGATGATAACGTAAATATAATTGAAGTATGAGGTTGATCCCTTAAGAAATAAAGAAGAAACAGTAAAAAATAGCATTTTTGTAGGAAAATTCTAAGTTCAGGGGGAGATAAATCTGAAAATTTTGGTGCTAGAGTTATGAACCTTGTCACATAAGATGGGGATGATGATAAGGAACATATATTTGAAGTTTGAAGTTGATACCTTAAGAAATGACAAAGTTATAGTGAAAAATATTTTACTGCACCAAAACTTTAATCTAAAATCTGGACGCGGACGCCGACGCCGGGGCGAGTAGGACAGCTCTCCATATACTTCGTATAGTCGAGCTAAAAATAGGCAAGGCAGAGTTACAGTTCTTATGCACTGCACACCTACTTAATGAGATCTATCTACCTACAAAGTTTCATGTTGATACCTCTTATACTTTTAGAGTTATGTCCTGTACAAAGTTCTAAGTATAAAGTAAACAAAGGGGGATAATTCAAAAATTAGGCAAGGCAGAGTTACTGTTCTTGTGCACTGCACACCTACTCAATAAGATCTATCTACCTACAAAGTTTCATGTTGATACCTCTTATACTTTTAGAGTTATGTCCTGTACAAAGTTCTAAGTATAAAGTAAACAAAGGGGGATAATTCAAAAATTAGGCAAGGCAGAGTTACTGTTCTTGTGCACTGCACACTTACTCAATAAGATCTATCTACCTACAAAGTTTCATTTTGATACCTCTTATACTTTTAAAGTTATGTCCCGGACAACGTTCAAAGTGTTAAAATAAACAAAGGGGAATAAAAATAGGCAAGGCAGAGTTACAGTTCTTGTGCACTGCACACTTACTCAATGAGATCTATCTACCTACAAAGTTTCATGTTGATACCTCTTGTTGTTTCAAAGTTATGTCCCGGACAAGAAAAGGGGACGGACGGACGGACGGAGCCGGACGGACGGACAAGGCGGCGACTATATGCTCCCCCAAAATTTTTTCGGGGAGCATAAAAATGAAATCAATTGTAAACGTGTGACCATATAAATGATTTACAAATATTCATTAATTGAACAAACATTATTTTTTATCCAGTTTCCACTCCTCCATTTGATATGTTCTATAATAAGTTATTTCCCCGCACATGCAGTACATGTAACTGCGTGACACACAGAAAATCCCTTCCCTGGTTTGTGGTTATTTATGTAAATACTTTTTTATTTATGAACCAATTAAACGATATAGTGAATATAAAATCATTGTATTATTATAAAACACCGTATCAAGAAAAGTTAATAAAACAAGATTGCATTTGTAAAAAATGCCATGCCACCGCATAAATACAACACTAAATGGTAATGGATGAACACATTTTTTTTGTTTCTATACAGATTGCCATAACGCATAGAACACTTACCTATCTGTTATTATCAGATAAGTACCTTCAGACAATAAGATTTTTATTTTTTTACTTTATGATATAGTGACTGAAAATCGATGATCCCCAGGGGGGGGCAATTTTGACCCCAGGGCTTTAATTTGAATAATCTTGCTAGAGGGTCACTACACAATGTTTAAAGCAAAATGTCTCACCTCTAGCCTTTGTCAATTCAAGAAGATGATTTTTTTCAAGTTTTTACTATATACATGTAAGGAAAACCTATGACCCCGGGGCGGAGCTAGTTTTGACAGTAGAGGCAAAATTTGAACAACTTTGGTGGAGTACCTATAGATGATATCATATACTAAATATCAAAGCTCTAAGCCTTGTGTAAGAATTACTAACATTCCTAAAATTTTAATTTGCTCTCTTTTTGGCGCTAAAAGCTCTCGCGTCACGTTAACGTCGCCGCCTTTTTAGCGACGTCACGGACGGCAGAGTTTTCCGGAAGTTAAATAAAAAGATTACAAACAAGTTTATTTTTGAAGACATTAACGGTAGCGATATTTGATGTAAATATTATTATTACAGTTATATTAAGGATTGAAGAAATTAATGTAAATTGACAGGACACCATTGTTGAGAATCGCTAACGCTACGCATAGCTACAATTATATGAATTTTTAGAATGTGAAATAAATGGAATTACAAGATTGCAGCGCATTTCTTACTTGGTTTTCTGAATCCTGAACAATTCTCCAC